GGAAGGCTCTGGCTGATCCTGTCTGGCGGAAGGCTCTAGCGGCTCCTGTCTGGCCGAAGGCTTTAGCGGCTCCGGTCTGGCGGACGGCTCTGAAGGCTCATGGCAGACGGGCGGCTTTGCAGGCTCAGTACAGACGGACAGTTCATGCAGCGCTTGGCAGACGGACAGTTCAGACGGCGTTGGGCAGACAGGCAGTTCAGGCGCCGTTGGGCAGACGGGCAGTTCAAACGCCGTTGGGCAGACGGGCAGTTCAGGCGCCGTTGGGCAGACGGGCAGTTCAGGCGCCGTTGGGCAGACGGGCAGTTCAGGCGCCGTTGGGCAGACGGCAGACTCTGGCCGGCCGAGACGCACTATAGGCCTGGTGCGTGGTGCCGGAACTGGTGGTCCCGGGCTGAGGACACGCATCTCAGGGCTAGTGCGGGGAGAAGGAACAGGGCATGCTGGACCCTGGGGACGCACATAAGGCCTAGTGCGTGGTGCCGGAACTGGTGGTACCGGGCTGAGGACACGCATCTCAGGGCTAGTGCGGGGAGCAGCAACAGGGCATGCTGGACCCTGGGGACGCACATAAGGCCTAGTGCGTGGTGCCGGAACTGGAGGTACCGGGCTGAGGACACGCATCTCAGGGCTAGTGCGGGGAGCAGGAACAGGCCGGACCGGGCTGGCGACGCGCACCGTAGGTTTGGTGCGAGTGGCAGGAACAGGCCGGGTCGGGCTGGCGACGCGCACCGTAGACTTGGTGCGGGTGGCAGGAACAGGCCGGACCGGGCTGGCGACGCGCACCGTAGGTTTGGTGCGAGTGGCAGGAACAGGCCGGGTCAGGCTGGCGACGTACACCGTAGGCTTAGTACGTGGAGCAGGAACCGGCCGGGCTGGACTGGCGACGCACCCCGTGGGTCTGGTACGTGGAGCAGGAACAGGTCGGGCTGGGCTGGCCACGTACACCGTAGGCTTAGTACGTGGAACAGGAACCGGCCGGGCTGGACTGGCGACGCACACCGTGGGTCTGGTACGTGGAGCAGGAACAGGTCGGGCTGGGCTGGCCAGGCACACCCTGGGCTTGACGCGTGGAGTAGGAACAGGCCGGTCCGTACTGGGAACACACACCACTGGCCTTAACCGGGGATCAGGAACGGGCCGGACCGGACTGGTAACACACCTCAGTCTCTTACGCCGTGCCTCCACTGCTTCCCTCCCTCTACTCGCCAATGGCTCCCGTAATCCGGTAGCCTTCTCTCCACGTCTCTCTGTGGCAGCCTCCTGCTGCCCAGCCGCCCAAGCCATGTGCCCCCCCCAAAAAACTTTTTGGGGTTGCCTCTCGTCCTTCCAACGATGACCCTGCTGACGCCGTTGCTCCTCTCTCGCCAGGGCCTTGATCTTCCCCCAAGGTCCCTTGCCCCCGAGCATGTCCTCCCAGGACCACGATTTGCCCACCTGGGCCATCGCCAGCCTCTCGATCTCCTTACCAGGTGCCTCCTCCCATGTCCAGTCTCTTTGCTCCTGGACACGCTGCTTGGTCCTTTTGTGGTGGGTTTTTCCGTCACGACCGTCTTGAAAGGGAGCAGACCAATACGCAGCGCGTTGAGTGAACATGATGACTTTAATGAGTAAAGCACGTAAATACAAAACAAAAGAAGATAGTGAAGTCCAACAGTGACAATGACTGAACTTGGAACAAAAACCCACAAACACAAGGTGAAAACAGACAGTATAAATATGGCTCCCAATCAGAGACAACGAGCCAACAGCTGACACTCGTTACCTCTGATTGGGAGTCACTCAACCAAACCAAGAAATACAACACATAGAACCACCCAACCAAACAAAACACCACGAAACGAACATACCCTGGCTCAACACACAAAGTCCCGGAGCCAGAGCGTGACAAGTTAGTAGTAGTTGGATGTCACTCAAATTGAAATGTGACTTACCTCTACTACAAATGCTCTATAATAGTAAACCTGCTCAAAGTAAACTCTGTTTGCAGCTCAGAAAAATTACTACAGAGCTTATGCAAGATTGCTCTCAATATTCTCAAAGGTTTGATACCTCTGAACAACTTGCTGCATACCATATTGAAGAAAAAGGCGACCAAGATATTAGCCGATAAGAACATATCCATCAACAAAAATCAATCTGGAAAAAGATTAATTCTACCTCTGCAATTTCTCACTTTATTATTTACCAAATGGAAATTAATCACACAAAAAAGTATTGTTGGTGCCGGCAGAGCACATGCACTCTTTCTCTTATTCTATTCCTGATATAAGTCAACAAACAGAGCTAAACTTGGACCGTGAGATAAGGATTATCTTGACACAAAATTATATTTCACCCGCAAGGAAATTGAGACTTTACTCATAAGCTCTATGCAAATACTTTACCGTCATTAAGCAACGAACCGGAGTTCTTGAGAAAGTTTCCCAAGATTCACGTCCTGAGACACGTCCTGAGGAGACACGTCCTGAGACGTCCCAAGAAACTGAGACGTCGCAACAAACGGAGGAAGTTTCCCCAAGACGTTTCTCAAGCAGTTTCTCTCCAGAAGGTGATAGAGGATTTACCTCTCAGGAACGGATTAAATGCTCACGTTTCTACAGAAAATTTAGTGAATATCCTCAGGTGGGTAGATGGAATGAACAAGGAGAGTTTGTCTTTCACCAAAAACCTATTAAAGGCAGTCATATTTTTGACCTCTTACGCACTGATACTGGAACTCAGAACATAACGGTGGCAAAGAAAGCCTGTGTGCCCCCGGTGATGCCTTGGGTGACCGCACCACCCTCTGGAGAGCCCTGCGGTTGTGGACGGTGCAATTGCCATACCAGGCAGTGATACCTGCCCGACAGGATGTTGTCAATGGTGCATCTGTAGAAGTTTGTGAGGGTATTAGGGGCCAAGCCTAATTTCTTCAGCCTCCTGAGGTTGAAGAGGCGCTGTTGCGCTGTTGCGCTGTTGCGCCTTCTTCACCAAGCTGTCTGTGTGAAGGGACCATTTCAGGTTGTCAGTGAGGGGATAAGTCCCTGAAGATTGAGTGATAAACGATTGCCTATGCTTACATCGCATTGGCTGAATAATGAGGCAATGGGGTAATTGATGAGGGCAACTTTTTCGGTCCCTGACAAATCCAAGCCATTCTCATTTGCAACTTTGATCATGAGGTGGAGCAAAGTATTGTTGAGAAACGAGTCACATATGTGAAAATGGCTTGTTTCTATGTTTTGTAGTAAAAAAGGCAATTTAGTAGGTTAAAAACACGTGATGCATGCTGATGGTGTCATTGGAAACACTTATCTTCCTCTATCTTTTTTACTACAAAGCATAGAAACGTGCCATTTTCACATATGTTGATGTTGTGGTGGTGCTAGAGATGATGAATATGAAGTTGAAAATTGTGAAGTTTCCCGTTAATAGGGCGTTGGGTCACCACGAGCTACAACAGCTTCAATGTACCTTGGCTTGGATTCTACAAGTGTCTGGAACTCTATTGGAGGGATGTGACACCATTCTTTCACAAGTAATTCCATGATTTGGTGTTTTGTTAATGGTGGTGGAAAATGCTGTCTCAGGTGCCGCTCCAGAAACACCCATAAGTGTTTAATTGGGTTGAGACCCAACCATGGCATATGGTTTACATCATTTTCATGCTCATCAAACCATTCAATTACCATTCGTACCCTGTGGATGGGAATCTTGTCATCCTATGGGGCATAGCCATGGTAGTCAAAATAATGGCCTGCCCAGCATTTCTATACATGACTCTAAGCTTGATGGGTTATTCATTGCTTAATTAACTCAGGAACCACACCTGTGTGGAAACACCTGCTTTCAATATACTTTGTATCCCTCATTTACTCATCTATTTCCATTATTTAGGCAGTTACCTGTATGTAAGCCATTGTTATAAGCTCAATTACGTCGGGCTCTTTTTAACCATTCGAGCTGACAACCCGGGAGGCCTCCTCAGGGCTCTGAGCCATCACCATGATTCCACTTCCCCCTTGTGGGGTATTTTGAGAATTAATTTTATTCAGTACGCCCGACATCACGTTAGGTGAGATATCTTTGAAGATATTTTTGGCAGCGGTATTGACATGAGGTTTAGCCAAATTGATTCCTGAATGAGGGGCATAGCCATCCTGAATAAACCTTTGAAAAAATTCCAGATGCCTCGTCCATAGAGCGGGTTGGAACCCGCTGAGTCCTGATCCTGCTTGTTGAGTGTAATACTGTACATATCGAGTATAGTCAGGGTACTGTGCTGGCATGTAAAAAAATAAATCCAGATGATTCTACGAATCTCTACTGAAATTCTTAATGTGTCGAAAGTGCAGGGTCACTATTACTTTCCCTAAATGGAAGAACATGTCTTTTAGCATTGGTTTTCAGCTCTGTAATGATGGTTTCAAAATTGTGTCTGCTCACAGAGGTGTAGTGAGGTCTCTGATAACTGACTGTCACCGCGTCCTTCTTATCACAATGAAGCTCCACTACCCTCAGAAGCTGTGCTTAAAGGTCCCCACCAGCTGCAACCTGTTCCATAATCAAGACCTCTACAAATACTCAGTCCTGCCACTTCCACACTGCCAGATCGTAATCTCTGCTCAGTCAGTCTACGGTTCTAGCCGTTTGTTGCCATTCGGATCCTGTTGTGCCTGTTTTCCTTGCCTGACGCTGTTTTCCTCTCCGCTACAGTTCCGCCCGCTCTGACTCTGGTCCCTGTCTCTAGTCCCACGTCTCGTTATCCTGCTACTCTGTCCTGGATTCCCCACTCTACTACTCCCTTGGATTCCCCTCCGGACCTGCTCACCCTGTCTCAACCCCCCTCGCTCCAGCCGCAGCCTCCGCACCTGGTTTCCAGCAGTTTCCCCTGACCTGCACTCCATCTTCTCCCTGTGTCTCAATAAATACCTTGGTTACTTCATCCCAGTCTCCTCGTCTGAGTCTGCTCTTGGGTTCCCCTGTTCCACTCCGCATAACAGTACGATCTGGCCAAAGGGATGAACCCAGCAGACTCTGCTACTCTCCACCAAACCCTTGTCGGCCAAGGCGCCCTGCTCGAGCAACATCACCAAGCCCTGAAGACCCTTCTGGAGCACACCAAGGAGTTTTCACAGAGCCTGTCTGACCTACAGGGCCGACCCTTCGCCCAGAGCTCACAACCAGTTCCAAGTCCTTCTCCTCTGCTCCGGGAGCCGTTTGTTCCGACTCCCGAGCGTTAAGATGGCAACCTCAGAGCCTGCAGAGACTTTTTGGTACAATGTTCACTAGTATTTGAGCAACAGCGCTACTCTTATGCTAGCGAAAAGGCCAAGAGTTCCTTTCTGATTGGCTGCCTCCGTGGAGCAGCGCTTTCCTGGGCCACGGCGGTTTGGGACAGACAGTCCCCCATCTGGTTCTCCTACTCCAGATTCACGGAGGAGATGAAGAAAGACTTTGACCACCCGGTCTACAGTAAGGATGCCGCTAAATGACTCCTGTCCTTCCGTCAAGGCCCCCATAGTGTTGCTGAGTTGGCATGTGAGTTCCGCACCCTCGCAGCTGAGAGCGGCTGGAATGAGGAAGCCCTTCAGGGAGCATTCCGGAACGCGTTCACTGAGACCCTCAAGGACGAGTTGGTGTCCAGGGATGAGCCTGATAGACTTGATGAACTCATCTCTCTCGCTATCTGCATCGACAACCGTCTCCGGGAGCGTCAGAGGGAGAGGGTAGGTAAGGTTGCATGTCCCATATCATCTGCTTCAGTGCCTTGTCCTCCTTCTCTGACTGCATCCCATCCCCAGGCTTGTCCAGATCCTGAACCCATGCAGCTCGGCCGGGCCCGTCTCTCTCCAGAGGAGAGGCAACAACGAATCGGCGCTAGGAGCTGCATATACTGCGGCCAGGTTGGTCACTTTGTCTCCACTTGTTCCCTGCGTCCAGCAAAAGAGGGGGACTCGGCAGTAGTGGGGGATATACTGTTGAGCCAAATCGCCTGCCCATCTTCCCCCAGACCCCTGCTTGAAGGCAACCTTGTGTGGCAGAGCCAGGCTTTTCCTCTGTCTGCTGTCATCGATTCAGGCGCCGACGAGAGCTTCCTGGACCGAGGTGTCGTTACCCAGTTGGGCCTGGACACTCCCACTCGATTCACCCCTCAATGCCAACGCTCTCAATGGACAGCTCCTCACCCGTGTCTGTGAGAGAACCGTCCCAGTCATCCTGCGTCTCTCTGGAAATCACCAGGAAAAGATCAGTTTCCACATAATCGACTGTCCTTGGCCATCCATGGTTAAAGCTATACAACCCACAGATTGACTGGACCTCCGGAAAGATAACCACTTAGAGTTCATTTTGTCACTAATTGTTTACATTCTGCCCTTACCCCCTGTCTTGATCACTGTTAAGAACAAGTACCCCTTGCCACTAATCAGCTCTGCTTTTGCCCCCCTCCATGGTGCCACAGTGTTTACCAAACTCGACCTCCGGAATGCCTACCACCTTGTCCACATAAGAGAGGGGGACGAGTGGAAGACTGCGTTCAACACACCACTTGGTCACTTTGAGTATATGGTCATGCCTTTTGGTCTTACTAACGCCCCTGCTGTTTTCCAGAACCTAGTCAATGACATGCTGAGGGATGTGATTGGACGCTTCGTTTTTGTCTATTTAGATGACATCCTGATTTTTTCCAAGGACCCTGAGGCTCACCAGCAACACGTTTGCCAAGTTCTTCAACGGCTGTTGGAGAATAAGCTTTTTGTTAAAGCTGAAAAATGTGATTTCCATGCTGCCACAGTGTCTTTCCTGGGTTACATTATTGCACAGGGACAGTTACGTATGGACCCCTCCAAGGTCATGGCAGTCAGTGGCCTGCGTCCTCCAACCTGAAGCAGCTACATTGTTTCCTGGGGTTTGCAAATTTTTACAGACATTTCATCCGCCACTACAGCCGTCTGGCAGCACCTCTCACCACTCTCGCCTCCACTCCGTTCCACTGGACTCCTGCGGCAGAGGCAGCATTCCTGGAACTCAAGTGTCGCTTCACCTCCGTTCCCGTTCTTACTCAGCCCCACCCAGAACTCCAGTTCATCGTGGAGGTGGACGCCTCTGACACCGGGGTAGGTGCTGTTCTGTCTCAATGTTCCCCCTCTGATCAGAAGGTCCACCCATGTGCATTCTTTTCCCGTAACCTCTCACCTTTAGAGAGGAAATTGGAGACCGGGAACTCCTGGCAGTTAACCTGGCTCTGGAGGAATGGCGTCACTGGCTGGAGGGCTCTGTAACCCCCTTCATCGTGTGGACTGACCAAAAAAACCTGTCCTACATCCAGATCGCCAAACGTCTGAACTCCCGGCAAGCCAGGTGGGCCTTGTTCTTTGGTAGATTCAATTTCACACTCACTTATTGCCCCGGATCGAAGAATACCAAGCCTGATGCCCTCTCTCGCCAGTTCACCACCGACAACACGGGTACTGAGCCAGAAGCCATTGTGCCATCCACCTGCATCGTTGCCGCCATCACCTGGGAGATCGAGTCCCATATCCGCCAGGCTCAGCAGAACCAGCCTGACCCGGGTAACGGTCCTAGTAATGCTCTGTTTGTCCCAGATTGTGTTCGCTCTGATGTTCTTCAGTGGGGCCTTTCTACCCACCTCACCTGTCACCCTGGTATGAACCGGACCCTCGCCTTCCTGCGTCAGCGCATTTGGTGGCCCACCATGGAGAGAGATGTCTGGATCCAGTCTAAACCCCGGTTCAAAAGGTATGGCTCTCATCGAAGGATCTGCCATTGAAGGTGGCATCGAAGAAACTTTCCCCCCGATTCATGGGTCCCTTTGAAATTGACCGTGTCATTAACCCCTCTGCGGTGCACCTGAAACTCCCAGCCTCTCTCAGGATCCATCCTACCTTCCACGTATCCCTGATTAAACCTGTCTGCTCCAGTCCCCTGTCTCCTCCTGCAGCAGCTCCTCCACCCCTCGGCTCATCGATGACCATCCTGCCTATACCGTCCGGCGGCTTCTGGACGTGCGCCGTCGGGGTCGTGGCTGGCAGTACCTGGTGGACTGGGAGGGATACGGGCCTGAGGAGCGCTGCCGGGTGACCTGCCGTCACATTCTGGACCCCTCCCTCTTACGGGATTTCTATACCTCACACCCAGATAAGCCTGGTCGGGCGCCAGGTGGCGCCCTCTACTGCTCATTCTGTGTCTCCTTGACCTGCCGCCACTCCCCCAGTACACTCTCTCTCTGTCTCTCTCTCTCTGTCTCTCTGTGTGTGTGATTGTGTGGGCGGAGACAGGTGTGCTGGAGTCAGAGCAGATCCCCACCAGCTGCAACCTGTTCCATAATCAAGACCTCTACAAATACTCAGTCCTGCCACTTCTACACTGCCAGATTGTAATATCTGCTCACTCAGTCTATGGTTCTAGCCGTTTGTTACTATTCAGATCCTGTTATCCTGCTGTGCCTGTCTTCCTTGCCTGACACTGTTTTCCTCTCCGCTACAGTCCCGCCCGCTCTGACTCTGGTCCCTGTCTCCAGTCCCACGTCTCGTCATCCTGCTACTCTGTCCTGGATTCCCCACTCTACTGCTCCCTTTGATTCCCCTCCGGACCTGCTCACCCTGTCTCAACCCCCCCTCGCTCCAGCCGCAGCCTCCGCACCTGGTTTCCAGCAGTTTCCCCTGACCTGCACTCCATCACCTTGGTTACTTCATCCCAGTCTCCTCGTCTGAGTCTGCTCTTGGGTCCCCCTGTTCCACTCCGCGTAACAGAAATTCCTGGTGCAATCCTAAAATGGTGGCCAGAGTACCCGTCGCTATCCTAAAATGGTGGCCAGAGTACCCGTCGCTCTGACTGTCACGATATACTTGATGATTTTGTTGTAATCTGTCAGGCGATTCCCTTGGAGGGCCTCTAACTCTAATTTGTTTTTTAAAATCTCTGATAAACCTATAAACACACGATTAGTGGGAGCGGAGTAAATACATTTTAAACCTTGAATGTTGACAGTCATATTGATCACATCCAGTGTATTGGTCAAAATAGTGGCCCACGGGTATGCAAAATCTTTGATTGAACTGGTTGTATTTATACCTTATATCTAAACCATTGTTCCAGTGTAACAACTCCTGAGTGGCGCAGTGGTCTAAGGCACTGCATTGCAGTGCAAACTGTGCCACTAGAGATCCTGGTTCGAATCCAGGCTCTGTCGCAGCCGGCCGTGACCGGGAGACTCATGGGCGGCGCACAATTGGCCCAGCGTTGTCCAGGGTAGGGGAGGGAAGGGCCGGCAGGGATGTAGCTCATAGATAGAGCATGGCGTTTGCAACGCTAGGGTTGTGGTTTTGATTCCCACGGGGGGCCAGTATAAAATAAATCAATATGTAAGTCGCTCTGGATAAGAGCGTCTGCTAAATGACTAAAAATTTAAAAAATGTAACGGGATACTGTATCTCTGCCGAAGCTACTTCCCACGGTCAGTTCAGTTGAATGGGTATGCAGAGTTTGACAGTAAATAGTGTTGTCAGGATATACATCATAGCTGGCGTTGCTGGGTAGAGTAACGTAAAAGTAATTTTCCTCATTCATTCCTCGTTTACATCCCCAGTTAAAGGGAGCAGGGTTATTTTGCTCTTGAATAAGGAACACGGCAGTGTACAGGATAGCAACTTGAATATACAGATTATTAACATGACAGAGAAGGCGACATGTTTACATACATAGATCTCTCCATCTGCGCTCGCTCAAAGGGCCTGCCCAATTAAGATGGTTACAACCAATTAAAATGATGCATTATGTGGTCATGTACTCAACAAGTGCATAATAACATTCTGCACCAGACTATATGATCACGCTCTCCGTAGCCGATGTGAGTTAGACTTTTAAGCAGGTCAACATTCACAAGGCCGCAGGGCCAGACGGATTACCAGGACGTGTACTCTGAGCATGTGCTGACCAACTGGCAAGTGTCTTCACTGATATTTTCAACATGTCCCTGACTGAGTCTGTAATACCAACATGTTTCAAGCAGACCACCATAGTCCCCGTGCACAAGAACACTAAGATAACCTTCCTAAATGACTACCGACCTGTAGCACTGACGTCTGTAGCCATGAAGTGCTTTGAAAGGCTTGTCATGGCTCACATCAACACCATTATCCCAGAAACCCTAGACCCACTCAATTTGCATACCGCCCCAACAGATCCACAGATGATGCAATCTCTATTGCACTCCGCACTGCCCTTTCCCACCTGGACAAGAGGAACACCTATGTGTGGCGGAACACCTATGTGGGGCGGCAGGTAGCTTAGTGGGTAAGAGCGTTGTGCTAGTAACCGAAAGGTCGCTGGTTCTAATCCCCGAGCCGACTAGGTGAAAAATCTGTCGATGTGCCCTTAAGCAAGGCACTTAACCCTAATTGCTCCTGTAAGTCGCTCTGGATAAGAGCGTCTGCTAAATAACTGTAATGTAAATGTATGTGAGAATGCTATTCATTGACTACAGCTCAGCGTTCAACACCATAGTGCCCTCAAAGCTCATCACTAAGCTAAGGATCCTGGGACTAAACACCTCCCTCTGCAACTGGATACTGGACTTCCTGACGGGCCGCCCCCAGGTGGTAAGGGTAGGTAACAACACATATGCCACGCTGATCCTCAACACGGGGGCCCCTCAGGGGTGCGTGCTCAGTCCCCTCCTGTAATCCTTGTTCACCCATGACTGCATGGCCAGGCACGACTCCAACACCATCATTAAGTTTGCCGACGACACAACAGTGGTAGGCCTGATCACCGACAAAGATGAGGCATCCTATAGGGAGGAGGTCAGAGACCTGGCCGTGCGGTGCCAGGATAACAACCTCTCCCTCAACGTGACCAAGACAAAGAAGATGATTGTAGAATACAGGAAAAAAAAGAGGACTGAGCACGCCCCCATTCTCAATCGACGGGGCTGTAGTGGACAGGTTGAGAGCTTCAAGTTCCTTGGTGTCCACATCACCAACGAACTATCATGGGCCAAACACACCAAGACAGTCGTGAAGAGGGCACGACAAAGCCTATTCCCCCTCATGAGACTGAAAAGATTTGGCATGGTTCCTCAGATCCTCAAAAATATACAGCTTCACCATCGAGAGCATCCTGACTGGTTGCATCACCGCCTGGTATGGCAACTGCTCGGCCTCCGACCGCAAGGCACTACAGAGGGTAGTGCGTACGGCCCAGTACCTCACTGGGGCCAAGCTTCCTGCCATCCAGGACCTCTATTCCAGGCGGTGTCAGAGGAAGGCCCTCAAAATTGTCAAAGACTCCAGCCACCCTAGTCATAGACTGTTCTCTCTGCTACCGCACGGCAAGCGGTACCGGAGTGCCAAGTCTAGGTCTAAAAGGCTTCTCAACAGCTTCTACCCCCCAAGCCATAAGACTCCTGAACAGCTAATCATGGCTACCCGGACTACTTGCTCTGCCCCCCCACCCCCACCCCATCTTTTTATGCTGCTGCTACTCTGTTAATTATTTATGCATAGTCACTTTACCTCTACCCACATGTAAATATTACCTCAACTACCTCAACTAGCCGGTGCCCCCGCACATTGACTCTGTACCGCTACCCCCCTGTATATAGCCTCCCTACTGTTATTTTATTTTACTTCTGCTCTTTTTTCTCTCAACACTTTTTTGTTGTTGTTTTATTTTACTTTTTTATGAAAACATAAAAGCATTGTTGGTTAAGGGCTGTAAGTAAGCATTTCACGGTAATGTCTACACCTGTTGTATTCGGTGCATGTGGCAAATAAAATTTGATTTGATTTGATTCTCATACACAACAGCTCCTCCCCTGTAACTCTTAACTAGTTTGAGAACCCTTCAAAACCAAAAAGATACACTGAGTACATAACCCATTTTTGACTTTTCCTTTTACAGGCAACAAAATTCTACAAAATCAGTTGTTATCCCTTTTCTTGTTTACATTTTTGTTTTTCACAAACAGTTTGTTTTCAACTGTCTTTTTCCAGTAGTCTTTTTACAAGTCCAGCCTCTGTGGTGGGTGAGTGCTATGGACAGGACGTGGTCTCAGAGCAAAATTCTGGCGGGGGCATCTCAACTACTTCAGCAGCTTGAGCAGCTGTGCTCTGATGCACATCGATCGCATTGTCCATATCAATGTCATCATTGTCATGGTCCCAAGATCCTCCTACATAAGGAGAAGCATCTCCATGTGCAAGAGCATCGCCTTGTCTCCTTGGCTTGATGTTCAACATCTGATTCACATGTCTTTTCACACAGTTACCATCGACATTAACACTAGAACATCTAAAGCAGTAATTTGGACTACTCCTTAATTGACATGTTTTATTACTATGCCATTTTGAAAGTCATACCCCCCTCCGTCCTTTACTTTTCCTAAATAAGTCTATATAACACACTGTCATTGTTAGAATCTTAATATCACAAACAGAAGTGGAGTTATAGGAGGGCATGTCATTTTTTAAATGGTTTTCCCCTGTTGCCACTCCTTCTCCCAAAAGTAGGGCCTGCTCCCCTCCTTCTCTCCACTGTTGAAAGTGCTGTGCCCAGTTGATATTCACCCCGATAACTGCCTCGAAACTGAACTAAATTATACCAAACCTAATTTCACACATTTAACAACAGATTAAATACATTAAGGAAAGTATGATGGGGGAGAAAGGGGTAGAATGGGTGAATTGATGAGCAAGGGGAATCCAAGCAGTCTAATCAGTCTACTCTGGCCTACTTGGAGTACACAATGAGAGTGTGTGTAATTTCAGATGGAAAGAAGACCAAGAACAATGGATGCACATGCTGCGTTAGCGTTGCTACAAAATCTGAATGAAAATGACTCAGATGGTGGGGAAGACATGATGAATCATGACATCTCTGATGATTATTCTTCTGATTCTGAGCCTCAGCCTGAACCTACACCTCCGAGGCCTAAGCGCAAAAAAGCCAGAATGGTGCGCACTGAGTAGGCGCCAGCACCAACACCAAATGAAACGGTGAGACCGGAGAGAGGAAGGGACGGCACTGTTTGGATAGAGCAAGCTGGTGACAATGCTACTGGCCAATTATCAGCACAAAATGTCATCACTGAGAGAGCAGACCCTACATCTCAAGCAAAAAGCAACGCATTCACCAGGTTTTGTTGTTTATGTGACATGGACATTCTCCAAGTGATGACATTACTTTTCCTAAATAAGTCTATATAACACACTGTCATTGTTAGAATCTTAACATCACAAATAGAACTGGAGTTATAGGAGGGCATTACATTTTTTCATGGTTTTCCCCCATTGCCCCTCCTTCTCCCGACAGTAGGGCGTTTTGTACACCATGTAAACACGAGCTGACAATTGTTTAATATTTTCGACAGCTGTCATATCGACATTTACATTCATTATAATGCCATTATTGCTTTTGTGCTGATTTTCACTATTTAACAAGTGCACTTGGCGCTAATAATGATGTTTAGGCTACTGATATTTTCACCATTTGACTGCTCGTCTTGCTGACTGTGCGTCTTGGTGGTTGGGGTTATTATAATTGTTTTGCCGTTATAAAAAGAAGCTGTTACTGCGTTCC